CCCTTTGTGAGGCAACTGCTGCCTAACGACTGCAACCGGGACTACCGAAACTGCCATTGTTAAGCGGTGCAGTCACATGGTGTTTCACCTAACGACTGCATCGCTTAGCGACAGAAATTCCGGTCCCAATTAGGGTCGTTAAGCAAGGGCTACCTGTACACTACCAATCCCCTGTTCCAAAAGCTGCTATACTAGTCCCCATGTGATTTAGGAATACGTAGAGGATGCTTTTTCCAAAGAGATTAAATTGTCTGTTCCTCCAGATCAGAAATGTCAACTGTTTCGTATGCCAAGGGCCTTTTACATCATCTCTACCTGTTCCTTTTAACTGCATAGAGCAGGGACTGAATATAAATTCTATGTGTTCCACTGCCTATGCACTATTTCCAGGTGACATCTTGGTGCCCTTCCCTGATTTAAGAAGCTAAGCAAGATGAGACCTGGTGACTATTTGGATGGGAGACTTCAAGGACTCTCAAACCTTTCGGCTAGCTTGAGAAGTTGGAAAATCTCCCAGAAGAAAACAATCTTCTGTATTGTTGTCAAGCCACCCATGAAGTCACAAGGAGTTCACCTCAACTCAAAGGAGACTTTACTTACTCTTGAAGTACCTTTTCCCACAGTTACGTTTTGAGAACTTCAGCAAAACACCAACTGGAGAGAGAATCATTTCCTGGACAAACTCTAACATGGATCCATGTCTGAAAACAAATCGTGCTTCAGCCGAGGGGACTCGTTTAATTAATTGCCTTGTGTACTTGCCAGATTCGCAAGGCAGGGTATAAATCAAATCAAGGAACAAACAAATAAAAACTCAATTGGGTGGGTCAACAGGACATTTCTCCTTAAGTGGAAATAATCTCAAAATCAGGGGAAAATATGAACACCAGTCTGCATGGAAATTGCATGAATGTAATGTCTGTTTGGCTAAAGTCACATGTGTGCAGAAGCTGTGGCTGGCGGCAATTAGACAAAATAAACATTCCTTCAAAGAAATAAGAAGAAAAACTGCATATATAATCATCATACGCAACCCCCCCTTTTTTTCTTTGCTTGAGTCGTACGTGTTTTCTTTAGCCATAGCTTAGTACAATTATACTGAAATAAGTACAAAAAATTCTCACAAAGAGAACATATGTTTCTGTAGAAAGCCCTTATCTCTATACAAGGAAAAATATGCTATTTATTTTCTCATTAAAAACGCATTTAGAACACGCATTCCAAAAGTTCTTGATATATTCTGAATTAAGAATCCAAAACCTCAACCCAGATCAAAGAAGCCACTTAGTGTTTGAAGTAGTGCACATGATTTAATGTGAGCACTGAATCAGGCAATTGTTTCAAATGGTCTTGCCTGAAAATTCACTGGTTTAGTCATCGTGGTCTGAGACTGTTTGCAATGTTGCAATGTTGTTCTGGCCTACCTTACAGGGCTGTTGGAGAAGAGCAAACCAAATTCCAGAAATACTGCAGAATAGCAAGCAATTAGCCAGAGATAAGGGATAAGCAGCTGGCAACAGCTGGCTTATCTTGTGCCAAATTTTAAAAGCATGGAAGAATTTCTGGCTCATGACTTAGCAATCATAAGAAGCATTCCTAATTTCAATGCAATACTTTTAATTTAATTTCCAGTGTACCTACTACATCTTACTGTAAGAGTCACTGAGCATGAACATAGCATCTTGCTTTCCCCACAGAGAGAAGGAGTGTAACCCAGAAGCAAAATCCAGACTTTGCCTGCCAGCGTTTCCAAGCTGAATACTTGCCTTGCCCAAAACACAAGAGACCGGGATGCTAGGGGGGACCAAAACTTTGATTTTATAGAAGCAGCTTCTTAAATTCCTTAGCACATTCAAGGCATAAGGGGAAAATGACCTTGAAAGGTCTCTTTGCTAAGAGGAAATGCCACAGAAATCAGTTTCTGCACATTGCTTAGTCCCTGGAGTTTGGGTAAGTAGAAAGAGAAAGATGTTATCCAAGATGAAATGTACCTGCAGCCTTCTCCATTGCAGCCCCCAGAATTCCCAGCCATCTGATGAGGAATTCTGGGAGGCTTGCCATAATCAGATGGGGAAGGCTGAAGACTGTGTTATGAGATCAACTGCCTTTATCTGTTGCCAGTCACTATTTTGGACAATTAAAGATGTACAGGTAATCTAAGTTCAGTGGACAGGAAAGAAATAACACAGCCAGGCACGAAGAAAGTCTTGGATGTAATTTTCTAAAACCACCATCACAGAATTGGAAGAATACATTCAGGCTATGGAATTCAATCCTCATTTGGTACAACAAGGCATTTAAAGCATCGCGGACCAGATGTCTGTCCAACCTCTGCTTGAATGCGTCCAGTAAATAGGAGCTCCTCGCCTCATTCAGTAGTGTTAAAAAGGCTCCCTAACCTATGCTCAGAATCTGCCTCCCTAGATTTTTAAGCTCTTAGTCAGTGTCTTGCACCCTAACGTGATAGAGAGCAGGTCTTGACCTTCTATGTGGCACCAACCTTTGTAAAAAACTCTCTCCCCCCCCCATTTCCTCCTTTTGTCTCAAAGCCAATTATATGGAGGTCCCTTTAGTTTCTCAGTGCAATTTAATTTCTAGCCTCCTGCTTGTCTTCTCGCA